CCGCACTTCCTTCACTCCCCAGTTTAAATTCCTCTGATACGAAGGCTGGCAACACAATGTGGCACAATTATCCCAAAGTAAAACTGTGGTGATGGTAATGAAATTGCTCATGTATGCATATATATTCTTACAGGCCTATCTGCTATATTAATTATAAGCCCTATTGTTCTGTTAAATTATGTTCTCACTCCAGCACCAACTGGTAACAGTGTAGCCTGGGCTGTACAGGGCAGCCGAACCCTCTCTATATACAGGAGAAACACGCCACTATATGTATGCACACCGCTCTCAAAAATGGAAAAGATGTAAGCAAAGTTTTTCCAATCATTTCAGAAGAGCTCTAAATTATTTTCTTTTTCAGAATAAAAATGTTTGGATAATTTGCTCTGAATAATGCACAATCAATATGTTTGGGGAACATTGCCCAATGAGTACTTTAATAAAGATATGTGTCTTAATAAAGATATGCAAACCATGTATTAAAATTCCCATACAAAAATCTGGAAAACCAGCTGTCGCTCGCTTACAGTCACTGGTAGTGAAAGGAGCTGGTGCAATTATTAATAATCATTAATAATCCCTAAATATATCTTCAGGCAAGAATACCAGGCAGGTATTCCCAAAAGTGGGTTCAGGTGTAAGCCTCAACTCCGACACCACAGTGAAATTAGCTCTATATTTTGTTTTTCAGCTGTAAAATCTTTCAATAAAAGCAATTCCAGAATTCTTTGTACTACATATATTGATTTATTATTAGTAGTAGGCCTAGTAGTAGGTCTTGAGCATCAAAGCATTAGGTTTTGTTCTTCATCTGTGATGGGTTGGCACCCCACCCTGGGTTGTTCCCTGCCTTCCGCCCGTAGCCTCCGGGATAGGCTCCGGACCTCTGCAACCCTGAATAGGACAAGCAGTTACAGAAGACTGATGGATGGAGCTATTTTTCATGCAACATCAGAAAACTATACGTCAGGGCTATTCAACTCAGGCCCTCGATTCCAAATCCAGGCCTTGTTTTCAGTTCTCCCAGCTAGTTAGTTTAATAATTACTGATTCTGATTGGTTTCACACCTGGCTCACAGGTGAAGGAAGGCTGGAAAATCAACAGGGCTCGGCCCTTGAGGACCGTGAGTTGAATAGCCCTGCTATACGTCACCACGATATCAAAGGTGGACTACAAAATACCACCATAATTGCTGTTTGTCCGCTCAGGAGGTAGTGAAATGTGATGTATCTTTCTCTCAAACCGGAGCTGTAGAAAAAAAACAGCGGCAATGCAGCCATTGGGCAATAATGTGCCAATTATATATGGCTGCAGGCTCCCAATACCGCTACAAAAATATACAGCTGCACCCGCCCATCTCAGGCCCCGCCCATCTCAGGCCCCGCAGCTCGCCGGCCCCTTCAGGCTCACTCACGCACGGAACAATTCGCCATTCTTGGGACCACCACGCGCAAGAAATAATAAAATAAAACAATAAAATGATCATGTTGCTTCAATACTATTTCAGTCCTGAGGTAAATGTATTTCATGATTCCAGAATGAATAACGCGACACCATGTTCACAAAACCAAGTGTCTTCTACAGCTATATATAGCACTCACAGAGTGCTTGGGATGCTTGTTCAATTCTATAAAAATGTTTCAGATTTATTGGTTTCATAACAAAAGTCCATTTACAAGCAATGTTTAACATAAATGCACATATATTCCGCAGGTATTTTCTTTTTATTGTCATAATTTTTTGACTCATTCAATTCTGTTTTTTCCATTTTGCTATTAATTGCAGTTGTAGTCATTGGCTCCCAAAGGGATACTAAAGACAAATGTTAAATGCAAAGGTGTTACCAATAAGACTGCTTGTGAGTAAACCTTTTAACTCAGAACAGCCCCTTTAGAATTTTAATTTGGATTTCAACTTATTACTTACTTGAAATGAATGTTTTACTTAAAGCTATTTTTATCTGCAATAATTAAGATATTTTGCAGGAATACCAACTCTAACGCGTCTGATACGCTTTCAGTCACCTAAAATTGGCTACATTTAAAGCGTTGGGGGAGTTTGCAAACCGTACAGAATATTTACAAGGTAATAACACTTACACACATAAACATGTGTGTGCAGACTTGTCTCAAACTGAAAATCTCACGCCAGTCAGCTGACCAAAGTTAGCGACCCTGAATTTTGTAAACAAATACACTAATGATTTTTATTATAAAACCAATAAATTTGCAATATTTTCTTTATTAAGCAAGCTTCCGAAGAGTTTCAATGTATAAACAATTTTATATTTTTTTTAATATAAAAACAGAAGTTTACATCCCGGTAGTCAATGATTTGGCCACAAATCTGGTACTGTCCACTGCACAGCATTTTACAATACCTGCATTCATATTTTCTGACGGAAAACAAACAAAACACTGACTACATAATCTTCAACACCTACTGTCTCTAGTCTTTCTTCCATTTTTAATCCATCGGTTACTTGTAGTATGATTCATTTTTACTGCAATTAAGTTTTTGTGAATTGATTATATTTCGGGTGAGTGGTCCACATAAAAAGCATGAAGCATTCGTTAGTACTCCTTATCGATTAACAAACTGCACAGTATCTTGTCGGCCAAAAAAATGCAACAAGTATTTTATTCGCTATGCAAAGCGCTTGTCTGCAGCACGATAAACTGCAGGGCTGGAGCGAAGCGCTGACGTCTCGCTATTCCACAACTTTCGACGTGTCAATCTCCCGCGCTTTCTGTCGCTATATTTTGACATGACGTCATCTCCTTTTCCAAATACCCGCCCACACCATTTTACGCGCGCAGCAGGCGCACAATGCGATTTAGCCGTCGTTCGTGACATCCAATCGAAATAGGCCGTCCTGAAGTTCTAAGTTGCCCAATGGCAAATGAACGTTTTAAGCACGGTGGCTGCTGGCCAATCATACAGTTGCGTCTTGGTTGCGGATCCAATGTATATATAGCTGGTTTAGGGAGTCTACCAATCAGAGCGAAGGGGTCCTCTTGCGTGTAGTGTGAAAGGTCGCTACGGCCACCGGCTTTTACCTTCCCCTCATCCGCCAGCCGCCGTTCCCTCTTTCGGATCTCGCAGCAATGGCGGAGCAACAGCAGTTCCATCTCTTACTGGGCAACCTGATGAGCCCCGACAACGGCATCAGGAAGCAGTCGGAGGTACGTGGCTGTCGGCGGGACACCTTGGGGCCGCCGCTGGGCGCGCGAAAGCGGGGAGTGTTATTCGGCGGGCTTCTGCCGCTAGCAGGACGGCGGCGGCCCGAGTCGGCCCAGCCCACGTGTGAAGCGAAGCCGATGGCGGATCCGGGGCTGCGTGACCGCGCGGGGGGCTCCGCGGGAACGTACTCCGCGACGGAGACCCGCGGTGGCCGCATGGCCGTGGGCTGCTGCAAATGACCGCCCGGTACTTTTATTTTTTAAGAACTCCTCCGCCCCGAAGCTCACGCTGGCTTTTCAGTGCGCTGTCGCTAACATGCTAGCGCCGCCTGGCTACCCCGCTAATCGGCGGATGTGATCGACAGCAGTCGCAAAGTTAAAAAGCGCCGATTAACTTAGCGGGCCGCCGCTTTATTCACACGGCTGGATCGTCCCAGAAAAGCCACTGCGGCTCTGTCCGCGCTCGTGTGACTTAATATATTGTGGAACTTTTAGTAAAAGTTCAATGCCATCACGGCGCTCGGGTGTGAACTCATAAAGCGATGTGAACGTGCACATTTAGCAAGGCTTGCTTGATGATGATTTTTTTTTTTGCGGGGTGGTTTGCACAGGAGACCTGTCAGCAGATGCCCGGGGTGACCCTTGCCCCACGGTCAGCACATTCCCTGCTGTAGACAATAACGGGCCGCAGAGATAAAGCCAGGCCAGATCCTCTCATCAGGCTCGGATGAGGGTTCCTCCTCTGTCAGGAACTTCACGCCCCCCCCCCCCCCCCCCCAATTTGTCTAGTCGGGTAGTCTGCAGGTTTTTTAAAAGAGCTGGGATGCCTTATTTAATAATTCTAATAGTAATGTCCCTGTTACACCTAATGGAAATTCTGTATGCATGCTCTGTTGCTGGTGTGTGGAATGCTGACCTTGAGTGATGGGAAATGGTTGCGTCTTCAAGATGATTTTCGAATGAGATTTATGCCTCACCCTAGAGAATGCTAGATGAACTTGGAGATTCTGGGGGTAGTACACTCTGTATGTTATATGGTCATATAAGAGATCTGCGTGTGTGTGTGTGGTGGGTGATATGACCAGTTTAGATGGAAAGCAAGCTGCTGTTTGGTGTTTATTGACCATGTGACTAGCAGCTGAGAGTATTCCAGGCCTCTCATCCTGCCACAGATCTTAGATTCTTGACATCTTGCGTGTAATGAGTCAGAAGACCAGATATGAGCAGTTTGGAGGGGGTGGAAAGGTTGGCTTTGTAGCAGATGTTCCGAGGATGCAGGTCTTATTCTGTTCTCTTCCATCTCGCTGATGTAAAAGGAGAAGAAAAAAAAAAGCCTGGTACCTTAGCAGGTAAAAGGTCGTTCAGAAGATCCCGCTGTCAGTGTCTCCCCAGTGCAGTCGTAGCCGTAACATGTTGGTTGAAACCCAAGGAGTGACAGGCTTAAACTCTTGCAAAACGTCCCATCATGTTGCCGGAAGCCCTCATTTTCACAGGAATGACTGAGACCAGTGCCGCTTAACTGGCTTTTCTTGTGCAGGAGACGTACGACAACATACCTGGTCAGACAAAGATCACGTTCCTGCTACAGGCCATCCGTGATGCATCTGCCACAGAGGAGGTAAGTGACTCCTGTCCCCTTCTGAGGTCGGAGGGTTTGGAACCTCGTGCTGCATTTTGGCAGATTCTGCGGACACTTGGTTTAGGGACACCTGGCAGTGTTTGGTTATCTGTCACGGCTGTGTGAAGAGCGAGCTGCGCATGGTGAAGCATGCCCTCCATCCAGCAGCCTGTTTAAGCAGGCGTTTCAGCTGTTTCTGTGGCCCTCCCTCACCCTACTGTCCCCCCCCCCCGGGAGGTGGGCTAAGGCAGTTAGTTACTGTAAGAGGGTGGTGTGAATTTTGTCCAGAGCTACGTACAAATGAGGACAGCTTAAGGTCAGATGGCAGGATCATCAGACATACAGGCAGGTGGGAGCTTAAGGGTCCAGTAGTGACATTATGTTGGCAACCTTGGGTTTTGAACCCATGAACTGCTGCACGCTGCACTGATTGCTGACCTGCTGGGCTCTGGGTTCCTATTGACTGACTGCATAAAGTGAATGTTCGCATAATTTGTTTATGCCCCTAATATCGTGAGAAGGCAGAAACGTCTTGTCACGGTTTTATGTTCTCAGTAACATTGCTGGTTGTCCTTTTGCACTGAAGTTTCCAGTGACACATTCCTCCCACTGGCAGTGAGCATATCCAGCAGAAGATGCCTGGGACTCCTGTGCCTTTCCTCCACTGGAGGTCTCTGCTCCCAGTGGCTGACCTGCTACACTTTCTTGTGCTCAGTGATTCTATACAGTCTCCTGTGTTGCCCCTGTGACTTCAGATATTTTTAGCGTGCTCTGCTCTCATTTTCCTGCCTCTGACTTGAGGCAGCCATCCTGCGGTTACCTGAGTTTGTTGCCTTTTCGTGTGGCTTTAATGGCGAAACGTGTGTCATCGTCCCCCCCCCCTCCCCCGCCGCTGTCTGCCCCAACATTCAGGTCAAGCAGATGGCAGCGGTGCTGTTGAGGAGGCTACTGTCGTCATCATTTGACGAGATCTATCCCGGCCTGCCGGCAGACATGCAGACGGCCATTAAGAGTGAGCTGCTAGTTGGCATCCAGGCTGAGGGCTCTCCCACGATCCGCAAGAAGGTGTGCGACATCGCAGCGGAGCTCTCTCGCAATCTCATCGGTAAGAGCACTCGTACGCGAACCTCCTTACTGCATCTCATCATTACCTTCTCAGAATCCGTCGCCTTTGTTTTGTTCATCCTGTGAAGTTCTTGGTCGGTAGTAACCTGGATTTCATGAAATCTCAGCACAGTCCTGCTGTGCTGTCTTGCTCAAGGGTACCTAAATTGGCTCGTTCAGTAAGCAGATTCCCGCTGCGGAAGTGGATCCGCTCTTAGTCACCGCCTGTTGCCCAAGCAACTATGTAAGACGCTCAAAACTTCTGCTGCTTCAGATGACGATGGGAACAACCAGTGGCCCGAGATTCTGAAGTTCCTGTTCGACGCCGTCAACTCGCCGGACGTCGGCCTGCGAGAATCTGCTCTGCACATCTTCTGGTGAGCCTGGTCCGTGCTCTACTGCCCTTTCATGTCAGCCTTTGCCGGATGAAGAAGAATTCTGTTAAAATATGGAGTGTCGTCATGCAGATTTGCAGAAGTGTGGTGGGCAGAATTAAAGGTGCTGTGCATCACTTCCATGCCGGCCAGCTGTCCGTGGTGTGGGGGTGCCCTTCGCCACTGCCCCCCCCAGCTTACTCATGTGGTTCCTTTTTTTTTTTTTTTTTTTTTTCCCTTTTCCCCCAATAGGAACTTCCCAGGAATATTTGGCAACCAGCAGCAGCACTACCTGGAGGTGATCAAGCGTATGCTGGTGCAGTGCATGCAGGACCAGGAGAACCCGACGGTGAGATCCTGCCTGGCACTGGGCTACCGCACATACTGCACCAGGCTTGATCTTTGAGCCATCTGGGGTCTTGGTTTAGGTATTGTGCTGGTCTTTGCATCCCACTGTGCCGTCCTATGTGCTGGACTTTAACTCTGGGGCACTACAAGCATGCCTAGCCTGGGGGCTCTAGCGCTCTAATCCCCCCCCAATTCCATTAGAGGGGAAAAGGACAGACGTCTTATCATTGTCTGTTTTCGAAATGTATGGGAACTGGCCGCAGTCTCAAATGTCAGCCATTTATCCTACTCTGCCTGTTTGAAGGACATCGGCATCGCATTCCTGATGGCTGGTGCGTTTTGCACTCTGCATGTGAGAATTCACTGTGGGATGACGGTTCCCCTGGGGGCTGCAGAGAGTATTGCGAGTTCGGCCATGTCTGGCTGGCTGAGCCGTATTTCAACATGGAACCCAGAGGCCTTTTTTTGCTGGAGGTGGTGATACGGGATTTAATATGTGCCGTTCAGAATCGCTCTGGTAACCCATCTGCCGTGCTCCTTAGATCCGCACCCTGGCCGCCCGAGCCGCGGCCTCCTTCGTCCTCTCCAACGAGAATAACACAGCCTTACTCAAGCACTTCTCCGACCTGCTCCCCGGCGTCCTTCAGGTGTGACCGTGCTGGATTCTCTTCTGTCTGCTTGTACACATTGTTTCTGATCCATGGCCATTTTGTTCCTTATAGATTGGTCTGGGGGCATCTGGTGCGTCTGCAGCTTAAACGTGGTTTGCCTTTCCGTCCGCAGGCAGTGAACGAGTCGTGCTACCGGGGAGATGACTCTGTGCTCAAGTCCTTAGTGGAGATTGCGGACACGGCTCCCAAGTACCTGAGACCCAACTTGGAGGCCACACTGCAGCTCAGCCTGAAGGTGAGAGGGTCAGATCCCAGATCCCCCATCAACCGAGCTGCTTATGGTAGATGGATTATTGTCAAGATGTCCGTACCGGCTGCCTTTGAGGGGCATGTTGTTCAACTTCTGCTATCTATACATGTTTTTTTTATTATTATTATTTTGCAGCTCTGCGCTGACACTAGTCTGAGCAACATGCAGAGGCAGCTGGCCCTGGAGGTGATCGTCACGCTCTCGGAGACGGCGGCCGCCATGCTCCGAAAGCACACCAGCATCGTGGCTCAGAGCGGTGAGGAGGCATTCTGCGAAACGCCCGTCACTAGTGAAGGGCTGGGCTGAGGTCCGCACCTCGCGATGATGGCCGTGTACGCTGCATAAGCCTCTCGCTCTGAAAGGGGCGGATCTTAAATTCTTTAATGAATTGAAGTGAATGTAAACTCAATTTGGAACTTTCAATAAATGGTGCGTTAGTAATTATGTAAGTGTGATAGTGATTGACAGGCAGCTTTGCCAGTTCAGGTTGACTCAGATCAGCTTTGTTCCTCTGAATGCAGTTTCCTGGCTTCAGGGTTTATTTAAGCTGTACAGGTTATTACAATGGTCATTTACAGCTATTAATAGTTTTATTACAGGGCTTTTAATGGGGGAAAAACCTCGCCCCCTTGAACCTGTTCAGAGTGAGCATACGTTGAAGCTCGTTGTACTTTTTGTAAACGAGCTGTGTTTCAGTTTAGGGTGCAGCATAATGGAGGGTGCGGCTGCCTGTGCATTTGTTCATAGGCATGATGCCACCAAAATACGTCACACGGGCATTTAGTGCATCAAAACATCGGTGTGTGACTCCTTAGGATTGCTTGTCTCATTGGTGCTAAAAAAATAAAGGATGGTATTTTGTTTTGCGACATCTTCAGGGAAGTTCTAAATGCATCGTTTTCATTAGTGGGTCTGCAGCAAATCTTTCCTTTTCATTTTTTTTTCTCCTCATGGCCTGTTGGCAGTTAGGCTGCTTGTAGATGATTTTTGCTGCGTTTTCTGTGGGAGCTGCGCACCATCGATTTGGAATGTTAATCTGACATTCCTGACTCGGGGCAGTGGGTGTCACAGTAGCAAAGCTGTGCATTTTCAGACTTTTGTGTTGAAACGGGTGAAGCTCTGGCAGCCGCACTTCTGTTTTCAGCGTGAGTGGCCTAGTTGCGCTGTCCATCGGCAGCATGTAGCCACAAAACTAGATCTTGTTCATTTGACTTCCTCTGCTGCTCCACCTTTGGGTCTGCGTATGGTTAGGGCTTCCTCTGCTGCCCCCTGGAGGATGGGCTCCACCTTTGGATCTGGGTCCTCCCAAGGTTTCTTCCTCCTTCCTGCTGTAGGAATATCCCTCTGAATGTGTTTGGCCTTATGGTGTCAGTCTCGTGGGCTACAGTAGCTGCTGGTTAATGTCACCTCCTTGAATTTTTTTCCCTTGCGCACATGTCACCAGTCCCACAGATGCTGGCCATGATGGTGGATTTGGAGGATGATGAGGAATGGGCAATGGCAGACGAACTGGAGGATGATGATTTTGACAGGTACAGAATCTTCACTGGTATCTCATGGCTTTTAAATGTATGGATCGTACTCTCTGTGGCAAATGGGAGTATGGTGTGGAGCCGCTGTTTAGTGCAGCAGTGTATAGCGTGTGAATGCAGGGGGTATATTACTGAGCGCGAATTGCGGCTGCTTAAGATGAAACGCGCTGTCTTGTGCGCAGCAACGCCGTGGCTGGTGAGAGCGCCCTGGATCGCATCGCTTGCGGCCTGGGCGGGAAGATCGTCCTCCCAATGATCAAGCAGCACATCATGCAGATGCTGCAGAATCGTAAGTTTGCATCCCTGCGGCTTGGGCCGCATCAGAAGATCAGAACAAAGCGCACAGTGACGTGTTTCCTAGCTACAGACCTGGTTTGAGGTCAGTAGTGGTCCGGAAGTGCTGATGTTGATCTCACGGCGTTCCCTTGGAACAGCTGACTGGAAGTACCGCCACGCTGGCCTCATGGCCCTCTCGGCAATAGGGGAGGGCTGCCACCAGCAGATGGAATCCATCCTTAACGAGATCGTCAGCTTTGTGCTTCTCTTCTGTCAAGATCCTGTGAGTCATTAGTCGTCGTCCCATCATTTTCTGTGACGTTTCCTGGAAGCCCAGAAGATATGGCCGCTTACTTTTTTTTTTTTCCCCCCCTCTCTCTCTTCAGCATCCCCGGGTCCGTTATGCTGCCTGCAATGCAATCGGACAGATGGCCACAGACTTTGCCCCAACCTTCCAGAAGAAGTTTCACGATAAGGTATCTTGCTGGAGATCTACAGAGGAGTGACCTACTACCGAGCGGTCTGCCTGACCGTCGTTCTCCCCACCCAGGTCATCTCGGCCCTGCTTCAGACCATGGAGGACCAGTCCAACCCACGTGTGCAGGCCCACGCGGCAGCTGCTCTCATCAACTTCACAGAAGATTGCCCCAAGTCCCTACTTGTTCCTTATCTAGACAACCTGGTGCAGCACCTTCATACTATCATGGTCGCCAAACTGCAGGAGGTACTTTGCCTTTGGAGTCAAAATCGTGTTGAATGTTAAGTACCCAAAGATACCTTTATTTCAGGCTTCCGATTTTCATAATAGGTGTGTAGTGACAATGAGTTGTAGTCCAGGGAATCTCATCTGGTGAAAATTGATGTTGAAGCTCCGTTGTGAACCATAACATGGTTTTTATCCCCCACTGCATTAGCTGATCCAGAAAGGCACCAAGCTGGTCCTGGAGCAAGTGGTGACGTCCATCGCATCCGTGGCCGACACGGCGGAGGAGAAATTCGTGCCGTACTACGACCTTTTCATGCCCTCGCTGAAGCACATCGTCGAGAACGCCGTGCAAAAAGAGTTGCGTCTGCTGAGAGGGAAGACCATCGAGTGCATCAGCCTCATCGGACTGGCTGTGGGCAAGGAGAAGGTACCTCCGCCTTCCCATGGTGCCTTGCACTGGCTTCTTTAGGGATTTGCTGTGTTTCTGACAAATTCCACACGTGCTGATTAGGGGCTGATTAGGGACACGGTTCGGTTCACGATTTTAGGGTCACGGTTTTCGGTTCTGTACGGTTCTTGTTATTTTTTTCTTTTAATCTTTAACACTCCAGAAATGTACTTCAGCATATGATATATATATATAGCTTAATTATCCACAATTTAGGATACAGTATTAAAAAAGTTATATCATGTAATCATGCATAAACTGAATTTGACTTGACTTAAAGCACATTATTAAAATTATTAAACATTATTAATCCCAGAACAGTAATAAAATAAGTCTTGCCTTAACATACATGCTAAGAGAATAGATCGCTTTAATCGCTATTACAGTTGGGTATGGGCACGCGGTCTTATTTAGAAAACATACAAAAAGAGACGCATATAATGTTTAATCATTCGTTTTGTATTTGTCCGGTCCACGGGGTTAATTTAATTGGGGATCGTTAAAATGATAGATCACCTATCTTGATTAAGCCTGATTCGGTTCGTAATATATATATATATATAAAAAAATTGGTATTAATTATATTGAATGTTCTTGAGTAATCGATAAAATCAGTTTCTGTATATGTACAAGACATCAATCTGTAATAGTGCAAAATATGTCCAGTTGATATGTCTAGTATGATCATCTGGCAATAGCCTGTAGGTCTGTGTGGTCAGACACTGTGCAATAAACAGAATTTTTAGGAACATGGCAAATGTTCACATTGCAGCATGGAAGCAGGCTCACTGTTACAACGCTGACCGGGGAAGCAGAGGCGAGGAGACCTAGGATCGGGGGAATGCGGGGTTTAATGAGCAAAAGGAACACAGACGAGCGGTAAAGCAGAATTACAATATAATGACCGGACTGGAGAAAGAAACGGAAACGCGGACTAAATACAATGGAGTAATGACAAATTTGACAACAATCAGGAACAGCTGGTAAACACGGGGAATCCACACAGGGTTAACGAGGGGGCGTGGCACACGGAAAGAGCGGACGATCGAGGCATGATACTCACTGGAGTGCTTTGTCACAGATAACTTAACTTAATTTTCTTTAACAAAGTGCCTAACCGCACATTAAATAAAGTCACACAACAAAGGCGCACAACAGTGTTCAGATGTTGTGCTATCGGTCGGCTGAAATTTAAACGTTTTCTTCAGAGACTGGGTGGTAACGCCGAAAACACGAGCTAAACGCAGCAAACGAAAGGCTACCGGAAATTACTTAGCTGGCTGAACTTTTACCGGAACTACGTCATACCGCTCTGTGCATATAGCCTATTCTTTCGCGCGAAAGGGAAACACACTGATGTCACATACGGGGCACGAGGCTACATTGCGCATGTCATGAACCGTCGAACCGTGCAACGCATGCATGCTCCGAACCGAGACAAGCGAACCGAACGGTTCGGTTTTTTTTCATGAACCGTGCCATCCCTAGTGCTGATGTCTGGCACTGGTTTTTGTTCACTAGTATAATGCAGGTGTTTTGTGCTAATTCTGCATGCTAACCACCCAAAATGAGAAATGAGTGCATTTGAGCTATTAATGGAGCACTGCTCTTCCCCGAATGGCTGCAGTTCATGCCTGATGCCGCAGCCGTCATGCAGCTGCTTCTGAAGACCCAGACAGACTTCAACGACTTGGAAGATGACGACCCACAGGTTAGGGATGCCTAGGAGTTACTAGGTTGGGCTCTTTGAGGCCGTCTTGCCCCTAACCACCTCTCTACTGTTCTCAGATTTCATACATGATCTCAGCATGGGCCAGAATGTGCAAGATCCTTGGGAAGGAGTTCCAGCAGTATCTCCCTGTGGTCATGGGGCCCCTCATGAAAACTGCTTCCATCAAGCCTGAGGTGGCCCTTCTAGACAGTACGTGCCTATTAATTGTCTTGCGCTCTGCATATTTTGTACTATTAATCCCTGTGGAATGGGTGTGTGAATTTGATATTTGTCTCGTACGTTTTAATGTGTACGCCGCAGCTGGTATGAGCTGTTTGGTTCATCCATATTTCAGCCCAGGATATGGAGAACATGAGCGAGGATGATGGTTGGGAGTTTGTCAACCTTGGTGACCAGCAAAGCTTTGGCATAAAGACTGCAGGATTGGAAGAGAAGGCCACAGCCTGCCAGATGCTGGTGAGCATTATGGGATTTCGTTCAGGCTTTGGGTTCCAGCTCAGTTTCTGGAATAAGACTTTCCTCCTGGACCATGGTACACTTGGTTAATAAATAACTCACACACTTTTGCTTTCAGTCTTCATAATTGGACATTGCTCCTTATCTAGCCTGTTTGCTTATGCGTACTGCTTCTAATCTCAACTTTCGCTCTCTTCTAGGTGTGTTATGCTAAAGAGCTGAAAGAAGGTTTTGTAGAATACACGGAGCAGGTTGTGAAAATGATGGTCCCACTGCTGAAGTTCTACTTCCACGATGATATCCTTTCCAGAGCATCCCCTTTTTATGTAATTTTTTGTTTGACCATATTTAGCTCTCTGCCCAGGAGAGAAACTACTTACTGTGGTGAACTCCTAGCCATTATGCCTGACTGTTAGTTCTGTGTAGCTGTACCAGACTGGATGTTAGGTCTCCAGTCCTTAGTGGCCCATGAACTGGAGCTGGTTGAGTTCCTTGACCGTACGGCACGTGTGCGAGTAGCGGCGGCGGAGTCCATGCCCCTGTTACTGGAGTGTGCACGCGTCAGGGGACCTGAATACCTCACCCAGATGTGGCACTTCATGTGTGATGCCCTTATCAAGGCCATTGGCACAGAACCAGACTCTGACGTCCTGTCTGAGATCATGCATTCTTTTGCTAAGGTAGGTTGGGATCTCTCATTCATTGAAGTGCTGCATGTAGACCCATCTTCTAGAAGTTACTGTACTTGAGAATCCATTTGATATCTGTCAAGTCGCAACAGACGTGGCAAGTTCAGGTCCAGAAAGTACTAAACCAGACCAAGTTTTTATTTCAGCCAACAAGTTGACTTTACTCTGCTGGTTGGTTGAAACAAAACCTTGGTCTGGATTTGTTCTTCAAGGACCTGAACTACCCACCTCTGGCTGGTGTTATAGTGGTTGAGAGCATATGCTCCTGGCTAAAGTACTTTTGATCCTAGCTATAGATATTACCCATTGCTACTTTAAAGGGGGCAGCTCCGCTAAGCAGTAATTTGGATTTCATGGAACTGCAGTAAAGGCTGCTGACCCATGTCCATCCCATTGCCTCTCCAGTGCATTGAATTGATGGGAGATGGCTGCCTTAACAATGAGCACTTTGAAGAGCTGGGTGGCATCCTGAAGGGCAAGCTGGAGGAGCACTTTAAGAACCAGGAGCTTAGACAAGGTGAGCCTCGGTCAGTGAAGGTCCATCATACTTGTGCTCATGCTCTATTCACTGATGTTTTCTGTCTCCTTCAGCCAAGCGGCAGGATGAAGATTATGATGAACAGGTAGAAGAAACCTTACAGGATGAGGTAAATGTAGCTGCCGCCAAGACTGGGGAGCAGTTCTGTCGAAGTAGGGTACCAGCTTTGTTGGACCTTGTGAATTAAAGTATGCTGGTCTACTTTCTTTTATGGGTAAAGAGCCGGGTTTTGTAAACTCCTGCATGTATTTGTGTTTTGGCCTAGTTAAGTAGATTTATCTCCCCTCCAGGATGAAAATGACGTGTACATCCTAACAAAGGTGTCCGACATCCTGCACTCGGTCTTCAGCAGTTACAAAGAGAAGGTTCTGCCCTGGTTTGAGCAGCTCCTACAGCTCATAGTCAACCTTATTGTGAGTACTTGATCCATTGGATTAAAACCTGCAGTTGACTTCACATGATTACCGACGCCTGGCCTGGCGGGGTGTTTATCGGCATTTTGACAATCCGCTTCCTGTCCTACAGTGTCCACACAGGCCCTGGGCCGACCGGCAGTGGGGGCTCTGCATATTCGATGACGTGGTGGAGCACTGCAGTCCCTTGTCCTTCAAGTACGCAGAGTACTTTCTGCAGCCCATGCTCCAGTCGCTGTGTGACCCCAGTCCTGAGGTGCGGCAGGCAGCCGCTTATGGGGTGGGCGTCATGGCACAATTTGGCGGGGAGAGCTACAGGACCTTCTGCACAGGTAGTGATCCCAGGTTCTTTAGGGTTGCTCAGTGTGGTGGTTGGGAGGATGTTTTGTGTAGGCATTTCATTTATGCCCTCAATATTAGAACCGGCTGTGGTTCACACTGATGCTTTGGCTAATGCTAACTGGATTGTCTCTTGTTGACCAGAGGCCATTCCTCTGCTGGTGGGTGTGATTCAGGCAGCCAACTCGAAGGCTAAAGAAAACATCAATGCCACAGAGAACTGTATCTCCGCTGTTGGCAAGGTGATGAAGTACAGACCGGAGTGTGTCAACGTCAATGAGATCCTGCCTCATTGGCTGTCTTGGCTACCACTCAACGAAGACAAAGAGGAAGCTGTGCACACCTTCAACTTCCTGTGTGACCTCATTGAAAGGTCAGTGGTCCCTCTTGCTTCGCCTTCCCGTTAAACCACACGATTGAGCTTTGGGGTTGATCAAACTTGCTTTGTTTCTCCGTAGCAACAATCCGATCATCCTCGGACCTGACAACTCGAATCTTCCCAAGATATTTTCTATCATCGCAGACGGCGTCGTCAGTGAGTCAATCAAACGTGAAGATGGGTGTAGCAAACGGCTGGCAAATGTCGTCCGTCAAGTACAGGTCAGCACTAATCTTAGATGTGTTGAAAGCGCATAATCTGTAACGACATCTATGGTAAACTGTGGCTCTTTCGCCCCCTAGGTGTCCGGAGGACTGTGGACGGAATGTGTATCGACACTGAATGAGACGCAGCAGAAGGCTATTCAGGACCTGCTCAACGCTGCTTGAAAAATCCTCTGCCATCTAAACATGGACATCCTAGCTCCCGACGATCCTCTCCACTCCTCCATGGCGCTCCTTCCTTTCCCGAGCAATGAACTGTAGCATGCGTGGATTTGCCGTGCAGCGAGCTCCCCCCCAGCCTGCTGTGGGCTCTGGGTCTGTGCTTGTCGCTTTGAGGTCCCACAAAGGACCCCAAGACACAAGCACCCTGCAGTACTGACACTTTAGAGTATTTTTGTATTGGAGCGGCGCCCTCATTTGGTGAAAGGGAAAGAACCTGTCATCCATTTTACAGTTAGGTATAATGAATTTCTAGTATTTGGATTTCTCTCCTTCCAGATCAGTTATGTAGGTGTGCATTGTAACAGCCTGATGCGTTTCTGTTCACCTAGTGTAATCTGTACTAAACTGCGTTGCGGTAGAGAGCTGCTTGTCTCCGGTTTCACAGGACTGGTTTGAGGACCTTCTAGAAGTGCGCGTGTGTGGTTTGGGGGGACACCCACCACCTATGTCACATTGGCTCCCCCCCCCCCTTTCCCTTAAGAAAAATGGGTGGGGGTAATAGTATGCCCC